GCTGTGCCAGAAAAATGTGCCCTCAGGGCTACCTCTCCCCAGCCCTGGGCCCCGAGGTCTCCCCCGGGCACCAAGGCCTGTGCCGGGCACTGGGACCTCTGGAGGGACCTAGACCCTTTCAGAGCCAGGCCTGGGACCCTCCCAACCCCTGCTTGTTTCCTGCCAGTTGGGGGCATGGCAGGCGTGAAGAGGGCCTCGGAGGACTCTGAGGAGAAGCCGTCTGAGAAGAAGGCTCCAGTCCAGCCAGTCACGCTGCCGTCGCCTACCCCCACCCGGAAGCCTCCACTATCTCCAGCCCAGACAAACCCTGTGGTCCAGAGGAGGAATGGGGGTGCAGAGGGTCCACCCCCCAAGACTGTAAGCTCCCAGCCTGCCCGCCCCCTGGTTCCCTGGGTTTTCCACCTGCGGGTGCAGAGGGGGCTTGTGGGACTACGTGCAGCCCCTAAGCCACGGGACCCGGAGGGGGTGTGGCCTCTAAGCCATGGGACCTGGAAGGGGGTACAGCCCCTAAGCCACGAGACCCGGGTGGGGATGCGGCTCCCCCAGTCCAGGACTCAGTCTTAGCAAGAGCCACCGGGACCGGCTCTCCAGGGCTCCGTCAAGCCAGGGGTTGTGATCCCACTTTGTACAGATGGGTAAACTGAGTCCCAGGGAGGACACAAAGGTGGGACAGAGCTTGAACCTAGATGGGCCCAGGACGCCTCCCTCCTGGGGAGAGAAGGGTTGCTGGGCTATGCTCTGTACCCAAGACCGGCTCTGCAGTGAACCCAGGCACCCCCACTTCTCAGAAGTGGAGTTGGGGTGGAAGGTGGTAGGCAAATAGCTGGTGGTTGGCACCCCCTGCTCCCCCTGGACTGCCACTCCAGGCTCCCAGGATGATGGGAATTGGATGGGATCCATGCCCCTTGACGGGGCAGGAGGCCTGGAATCTGTCTCTTGGCCCCCACCCTGACTGAAGGACCACTAGCATCAGGCCCCAGCTCCCTCCCCAGGGCTGGGCTAGAGTCCCTGGACTGGGGCTGCTTCCCGCCTGGGTGTGACCGCACCCTGCTGGCAGCTCCTCTCCCGGCCAGTTCTCCATCTATAAGATGGGCTCTTCCAGGCCGGGCGCAGTGGCTCACACCTGTAATCCCAGCACTTTGGGAGGCTGAGACGGGCGGATCACGAGGTCAGGAGATCGAGACCATCCTGGCTAACTCGGTGAAACCCCGTCTCTACTAAAAAATACAAAAAATTAGCCAGGCGTGGCGGCGGGCGCCTGTAGTCCCAGCTACTTGGGAGGCTGAGGCAGGAGAATGGCAGGAACCCGGGAGGCAGAGCTTGCAGTGGGCTGAGATCGCGCCACTGCACTCCAGCCTGGGCGACAGAGTGAGACTCTGTCTCAAAAAAAAAAAAAAGATGGGCTCTTCTGGCCTCCTGTGGGCTGCTGCCAGGAGGGAGGGCTGGGTGGACGGCCGCTTTGAGAGGTGCTGGCATCCTCCCCAGGGCCAGGTGTCAGTGGGCAGCTCGGTCAGCAGCATCTGCGGGATCTGCGGTAAGCACGTGCACCTGGTACAGCGGCACCTGGCTGACGGAAGACTCTACCACCGCAGCTGCTTCAGGTGGGGCTGCTGTCCACCCGCATGCCTGAGTATGCACCTCCCCTCCCAGAACCCTCCCACAGCTCCCACTGCCTCCCACCCAGCCGCATCCTCCTCCTCCTCTTCTTCCTCCTCCCCTTCCTCCCCCCTCTTCCTCTTCACTCTTCTCTCCTTACTGCTCTCCTTCCTCACCCTCTTCCCCACCCCGGGCTCTGTTGCTGACAGCCCAAGATGCTCTGCTGTTCCTAGACACCCAGGGCCTGAGGCCCCTCACTAAGCCCCAGTATCCTCCAGTGCCCCTGTCGAGATGCCCTCCCGAGTGTCCTTCCACACACACTGCCTCGGTCTCCCTCCTGTGCCTCAGCCTATCCCACTGGGGTGTTTTACTCAGTGGCCATCCCCAGCCCCTCCCTGCCACCGGATGGGGGCTCTTAAGGACGAGCTGTTCCCCCTCCTTCTGTCCCCAGCTCTGCAAGGCTGGGGTGGGTCAGTCCCCCCAGTTCCATCCCCCAGTCTGTGGGGCCGGGGTGGGTCGGCCCCGAAGCGGGGCCTGGGGTGGCCTGTGGGTGCGTGTCTGCTGACATGCGTGAGCACTCTCTGGGGTCTGTACCCCAAACAAGGATTTTGGTGGGGTCTGTGACTCAAGGGGTTAGGGACCCTGAGAAGTGGTGTGTGTTGAATGAATCGGCGACCTCGTGAGTGGACACGGGAGTCCGAAATGCCTGCTCTGGGAGCACATGGTGAATGCATGGCGGGGCAGGCGGTGCTGAGCTGGGGCTCCTGTGCCTTTCCTCCCTCAGGTGCAAGCAGTGCTCCTGCACGCTGCACTCGGGGGCCTACAGGGCCACCGGAGAGCCGGGCGCCTTCGTCTGCACCAGTCACCTCCCTGTGACTACCTCTGCAAGCCCCAAGTTGCCCGGTCTGGTCCCCCAACGGCCAGGGGCCATGGCTGTGAATTCCAGGACCCCCTGTTCCCCGCAGAAGGCCCAGGAGGCGAACAAGCCCGAGGCCAGACCGTCGGCCTGGGAGCCTGCTGCAGGCAACTCGCCTGCCAGGGCTTCCGTTCCGACCACACCCAACCCTCCAGCCACCAGCCCCGCGTCCGTCTGTGTGAGGAGCCCAGCCAGGCCCTCTGAGAGCTGCCCGGCCCCCACTCCCCTGGAGGGGAAAGTCCGCCCTCGTGTGACCAACAGCTCCCCGATGGGCTGGTCGTCAGCTGCCCAGCGCACAGCAGCAGCCGCCTCCCATCCCCCTGTGCCCCCGAGTGCCCCAGACCCTCGCCCGGCCACACCCCAGGGCGGGGGAGCCCCCCGAGTGGCAGCTCCTCAAACCACGCTCAGTTCAAGCTCCACGTCTGCAGCCACCGTGGACCCCCCAGCCTGGACCCCATCTGCCTCCAGGACCCAGCAGGCCCGGAATAAGTTTTTCCAAACATCAGCGGTGCCCCCCGGCACCAGCCCTGCTGGCAGGGGTCCCGCGTCGTCACTTGCTCCTTCCAGGGACAGCAGCAAGGAACAGGCACGGAACTTCCTCAGGCAGGCCCTCTCGGCGCTGGAAGAGGCTGGCGCTCCAACGCCTGGGAGGTGAGTGGCGTGGGGACCGGGGGTGCGGCCTCTATGCACCAGGTGAGTGGCGTGGGGGGTGTGGCCTCTATGCACCAGCCAGAGGGACCCCAGGAGGCCAGAGGGCTTGGGGGCGCTGCCCCTCCCTGGCTGCGTGGCCCTGGGGACTGAACCTCCCCCGCCTGTTTCCTCCTCTGGGGAATGGGGAGGAGGAGCCAGGACGGCAGTGCCTGTGGTCAGGATGGTGGGAGCTGGGTCCTTATGGAAAACCTGGTGTCTACCTGTGTTCGAGGGCATCATCGGTGAGGTGGCGCTGCTGCTCCAGGGCTCACGGTGCCGCACTCCCTTGGATCACAAGGGCCCTACGCCCATTTCACAGATGCAGGGACAGGTTGCGAGCAGGATCCACATTGGCTAGGCTGAGCGTCACCTTGTCTGAGTCCAGCCGGGCCCTGACCTTCCATGCCTGGGCCCCGCGCCTGCCCGTGCCTGGACCCTGGGCAGATGACGTGGACGGGTAGAGGGGGGCGCTGCGTCAGTTTCCAAAGACCCCCTCCCTGGGTGGCTTACACAGCAGAAATCCACTCCCTCACAGTTCCACAGGCCAGAAGTCCGACCTCGAGGCGTGGGAAGGGCCGCGCACCCTCCGGGGCACTAGGGGTGGACCTGTCCTTGTCTCTTCCAGCTCCCAACGGCTCTGAGCGTTCTTGGCTTGTGGCCGCCTCCCTCCAGTCTCTGCCTCCGTCTCCACGTGGCCTTCTCTCTGTCTGTCTTCTCCTCTTCTGTCTCTCCTAAGGACACTGGTCATTGGACTAGGGTCCACCCTAACCCAGCGTGGGTGCATCTTAACATGATTACAGCTGCCAAGATGGTTTACAGATAAGGTCACACTCTGAGCTTCCCAGGGGACGTGAATTTTAGGGGTCACCATTCAACCAAGTACAGTCACTTAACGAGTGAGGACACTTGTCGTGGTCTGGCTGGCAACGCTGTTTGCTGCCCCGTATTGGGCGGTGCAGGCGTCCCCTGCTCAGAACTGCCTCCTGCCCCCGCACTGGGCAGCAGGGGGTGCCCAGAGCCTCCAGGGTGGCCACAGGCAGGAGAAGAGCGAGTTCGCTCTGCTCCTCCTGGCACTGGCGGGTGTCCAGGGCATCCTAGGGACTGAGGATGAGTGTGGGGGCTCCAGGGAGTGCTTCCTAGGTGGGGAGTGGGGGGCACATGTGGCTGGGGAGGAGCCCAGCTCCTCTGGGGAAGCCGGTCTGGTCACCCCTGAGCCCGGTGTCGGGGGAAAGGGGGGAAGGAACCTGGTTGTCGAGCGGGGTGGGGACATGGAGGCACTGGCTCGGGGATGGGGAGGCACCTGGTGCCCCCACCTCAGCTTTGGCAGCCTCACTCCCGGCATGTGCCCGAGGGAAAGCAGGAAGGCACGGAGGCCTCGTGTCTGGCCCTGTGTCTGTGTGTCTGGCCGGGCTGGAGAGACTGTGTCACATAGGACTGAACCTGGCAGCCCAGGCCGGCCCAGGCTCTGACAAAGCCTCAGGTGCTTCCAGCCTGGGTGTGTGATGTGTTTCGGGGGCGGATGTTTTAATCTCAGCCAATACTGGATTTCACGAGAGAGTGGAATCAGCCACTGCATATGCTCATGCCAGAAACAGGTGTCTGTGGCCCGTCCCTTGCCAGGGTGGTCCATCCTGCTGCCAGAGGCTGGGCATTGGAAGCTAACTGCAGGGAGGCAGAGGGGTGGCCTGGCGCAATGGTCGGGGAGGCAGAGGGGTGGCCTGGGGTGATGGTGGGAGGTGGAGGGGTGGCCTGGGGTGATGGTTGGGAAGGTGGAGGGGTGGCCTGGGATGATGGTGGGAGGTAGAGGGTGGCCTGGGGTGATGGTGGGAGGTAGAGGGTGGCCTAGGGTGATGGTGGGAGGTGGAGGGTGGCCTGGGGTGGTGGTAGGAGGTGGAGGGTGGCCTGGGGTGATGGTGGGAGGCGGAGGGGTGGCCTGGGGTGGTGGTGGGAGGTGGAGGGTGGCCTGGGGTGATGGTGGGAGGTAGAGGGTGGCCTGGGGTGATGGTGGGAGGTGGAGAGTGGCCTGGGGTGATGGTGGGACTCTGTCTGGAGGGTGGGCATTGGGAGCAAGCTGCTGGGGAGGCAGAGGGGCAGCCTCGGGTAATGGCGGGAGGGCGCCTGGATCCAGCTGTGCCTGATACATGCTTTTTTACTTACAGGCCCTCCCCAGCCACTGCCCCTGTTCCCAGTTCTCAGCCCAAAACTGAAACACCACAAGCAAGTCCCTTAGCCAAGCCATTACAGCCCACGTCTCCCCAGGCTTTTGGCCTCCCTTCAAGGACGGACCCACCAGCCCCCCTGAGCACGAGCAGCACCCCTCAGGCATCCGTGTCGCCCCCGGCAGGCAGGAGGAGCTTGGCCGAACCCTCGGGGGTCGGCAGGGTGGGTGCTGGCTCCAGGCCGAAGCCAGAGGCGCTGACTGCAAAGGGTAAAAGCACCACCTTAACGCAGGGTGAGTAAGGGGCTGGGACGCAGGAGGCCATGGGGGCCTGCAGTTCTGGGACTCTCCCCTGGCCAGTTTCACCATCAGCCCCGCCCGCCTTCCTCTCCGTCTCCGTCTCCGTCTCTGTCCTCTGTGACACCTGCTCACAGCCTCCTGGGGTCCTGGCACTCTCTCTGTGCAGTGGCTGCAAACGTCCTCAGGGCTATGCTGTCCGCTGGCGCTGTTGCCCAGCCCACCCCACCCCATCCGCACCTCCTGTAGATGCCTGCAGCCCATCCCTGCAGCATCCCACTCAGCTCAGTCTGGCAGTGACACCTGGCGGCTCACAGTGGCCTGGCTTTGCTGTGGTCGGGCCTCCTTTTCTCCGCTGGTGTTTTGTGGTTTCTGCCTGTTGCTTTGTTTGACAACGTTGCATTGTTGCTGTGGCACTGTGTCGCCACGTACTGGAGATGGCGCCCTGTGCCCCATATCTCCCAGTGGTGTCCCAGTGACAGCACCCTGTGCCCCTTCCGCCCCCCAGGTTGTGTCCAGGTGACAACGCCCTATGCCCTGTCTGCTCCCCCGGCTGGTGTCCTGATGACAGCACCCTGTGCCCCGTCTCCCACCACCCCCCCGCTGGTGTCCCAGTGATGGTGCCCTGTGCCCCGTCCCCCCAGATGGTGTTCTGGTGACGATGCCCTGTGTCCTGAGGGCTCTGGTGCCTCCTGGGCTCGGAGCTCTTCCTGGGGCCTCCCTGGACCACACAGTCCTATTTTATGGGCTCACATGTTTTTGGGAACAGGGAGCTAGGTTTTTTCTAGGCACCTGGGGGTAGCCCACCAGGGGTTAGCCCCCTGCGTGGACATGGCCAGGTTGGGCAGGATGTGGGTGTAGGGCTTGTGAGGCCAACCCTGTGCCAGCCGGGAGGCCCAGGGCACGGGGATGGCCAGGCTACCCAGCGAGCTGTCGGCTGTGCCGGGACAGACCCCAGGCTCCCGGCAGTCCTGCTTTGATGCATGGCTCTGTCTCCCCACCTGGGGGCAGCCGAGGTCCCCTTCCCCACTTTACCATGGGAGACTGGCCGTCCGTGCCATCTGGGGGTGCCTAGAAAAAAGCTAGAGGTTCCCGCGGCTTTATTGAGCTGGGCTGAGAACACACTGGGCTGCAAAGGGTTTTTCCAGATCCTTCCCTTCAACTGAGTTCTCATGGTTAAAGCCACACCCTGAGCCCTGCTGAACAGGACCCAGGAGCCAAGAAAGCCTGCAGACGAGCAGCCGCGGTTCAGGTGTTCCCCTTGCACAGGCGGACAGAGGATCAGAGTCCATGGGGCTCACCCTGCCATGTCCCCACCCATTTGGCAGAAGGGGAAGTTGAGGCCCAGAGGCAGGGAGAGACTCCCCCAGGGACACAGCACAGGAGACCCAGCTGGGAGCCCCTTCCCCTGACCCCCTGCATGGTGCTCCTGATGCCCACAGGCCAGCTGGCTGTGGGGGTGTCTGAGGGTGGAGTGGCTGTGGGAAGATGGCAGGGGGAGGCACAGCCCTCCCTGCAGACACCCCATTCCCAGCACTCCCTCCTTATACCCAGACCCCTTGCCTCCCACCCAGACAGGAGCGCCAGCCCCCAGGAAGGCCAGGAGGATGGGCCGGCAGGATGGAGAGCGAATCTGAAGCCCGTGGACAGGAGAAGCCCAGCTGAGAGGTTAGAGATGGGTGGGGCTGGCCCAGGGCCTGGTACACCGTAGGTGCTTAATAAATGCAGTGAGTATGTAATCAACGATTGACATGCCCATCCAGGGATGGTCGCACCTCCCTGTGAGTAGCAGAGGCCAAGTCACCCCACCTGAGGGACATGGGGGCCGCTCTCCCTGGTTTGGGGACAGTGTTCCTGTGTGCCTCACCTGGGCACGGCAGCCCCCATGTGGGTTCACGCACCACGCCTGCAGCTGGGGTGGAGTCTCTCTGTGTGTGGGTCCCGTGGGGGCCCAGAGCTCATGCCTGGAGTCTGGTTCGCACCACAGCAGGTAGTGGTGCACACACCTGTGTCTGTGGGAGGGTCCCAGCAGATGTAGTCGGTGGGCTGGGAGGTGGTATTTGCTCAGAAGGCCACCTGCTCCCTCGAGCTGCTCTACACATGGCCTGGGAGCCCCTCCAGGTGGGCCAGGCCTGGGGCTGGTAGCTCGGGTTCCGACCTCATGCCTTCTGCCCAGGACTCTGAAGCCCAAGGAACCACAGGCCCTGGCAGAGCTGAGGGCGGGGGAGGCCCCCGGGAAGGTCTCAGGCAGCTTTGCGGGGAGTGTCCACATCACCCTGACCCCCGTGAGACCTGAGAGGATGCTGCGCCCAGCCAGCCCAGGACCCAGCCTCCCAGGTACTGCTGGACGGGACCCAGGGGCCCCCAGGTGCCTAGCTGGCCATCCCCCTTGGGTGGGGCCCCGGGACTGGACCTGTAGTGCCACCTCCTGGGGTGTGTGGGAAGGGGCTGTGGTCAGCCAGAGGTGCTGGTGGTCCTGGGCAGGCTTGTGTGCATGTGTGTGCAACTGTGTTCGTGTGATGCATGTGTCTGTGTTCATGTGTGATACATGTGTCCGTGCGTGCACCTGTGTTGATGTGTGATGCATGTGTGTATGTGTGATGATGTGCACGTCTGTTCATGTGTGTGATGCATATGTCAGTGCGTGCACCTGTGTTGTGTGTGATGCATGTGTGCATGTGTGATGCATGTGCATGTCTGTTCATGTGTGTGATGCATGTGTGTTCGTGTGTGCACCCATGTTCATGTGTGTGATGCATGTGTGTGCACACATCTCTCTGTGTATTCCCAGCACTCACAGGTGCCCTAGATCCATATCCAGCTCTCGTGCCACTTCCTGTGTGACCCTGAGCAGCCAGCATCCCCCTGGGTTAGCCCCCTGGGGAGACATGGCTAGGTTGGGCAGGACGTGGGTGTAGGCCTTGTGGGGAGCGGCTGCGGGCCAGTCGGGAGGCCCAGGGCACAGGGATGATTGGGCTACCCAGCAAGCTGTTGGCTGTGCCGGGACAGACCCCAGGCTCCCAGTGGCCCTGCTCTGACACGTGGCTCTGTCTCCCCACCTGGGGGCAGCCAGGTCCCCCTCCCCACCCCGCCGCAGGAGACTGGCCATCCCTGCCAGCCTTGACGTTTCTGACAACTGGCTTCGTCCGGAGCCCCCTGAACAGGAAGCCCGAGCGCAGAGCTGGAAGGAGGAGGAGAAGAAACCTCACCTTCAGGGCAAACCAGGTCAGCCCCAGAGACACTACTGCTGTTTGGAGTGTAGGTGAAGGGAGCCTTCCTCTGAGGAGGTAATGCCTGCTGGGGCTTTGGAGGATGCATAGGAGCTCACAGGGCCTAGAATGGAGGGATAGCCTGGAGGAAGGACCCAGCCCTGTGTCCTAGGCCCTCCCTCGTGAATAGAGACCCTAGCTGTCTCAGAGCACCTTGTCACAGACTCCTGATGATCATGGAATGTCTGCTCCTGGCAGCTTGAGGGACTGGGGTGGTTGGGTGTTGCTGACCCGGAGGAGGGCAGGGTGCAAGGTGGGGCCGGGCCTGGAGGCCACTCAGATGTCGGTGGGGCTGGGGCAGGGCAGCCCAGTGGGTGTGCGGGTCATTAAGGAGGCAGGGCTGAGGCCAGCTGTGCTGAGGTCAGGACCCTTCCAAGCTGTGTCCTGGTCGCTTAGGGCCTGGTGGCCGAGGCCCCGGAGGCTCACCCTGCCCCTTTTCCAGGGAGACCCTTGTCCCCGGCCAATGTCCCTGCTCCACCTGGCGAGACAGTGACCTCCCCAGTCAGGGTGAGTAGCGGTGGGGAGCCGGGCAGGGGCCCAGCCCTCCGGCATCCTCACCGCCCCTCCATCCCCAGCTGCACCCCGACTACCTCTCCCCGGAGGAGATACAGAGGCAGCTGCAGGACATCGAGAGGCGGCTGGATGCCCTGGAGCTCCGCGGCGTGGAGCTGGAGAAGCGGCTGCGGGCAGCCGAGGGAGGTGAGCGCTTCGGCCTGGTCCTGGGCCAGCCCGACTCCCACAGACACCCTCAGTCCTGGGGCTAGGGGCCGTGAACCCTGGTGGGCCCCCCTGCCCCAGCTGGCTCCTCTCCCCAGATGATGCTGAGGACGGCCTCATGGTGGACTGGTTCTGGCTTATTCACGAGAAGCAGCTTCTGCTGAGACAGGAGTCAGAGCTGATGTACAAGTGAGAGCCCAGCCGCGTGCCCCTCCTCGAAGGCCAGGACCTCGTTGCAGGCTGGGCAGGCCAGGCCGGGGACAGGAGCGCAGAGTCAGGCCTCATATGCGTGTCTCTGCAGCAGGTCCAGGCCCTTGTTGCTGTCTGGGTGGGCCAGGTGGGGGACGGGTGGTGAGTCAGGCCTCAGACGCGTGTCTGTGTGGCAGGTCCAGGCCCTTGTGCAGGCTGGGTGGGCCAGGTGGGGGACAGGAGCGGCAGAGTCAGGCCTAAGATGCGTGTCTGTG